AGATTTTTACACAGTGAATGAAATGAATGCTTTATTATCTCAGACTCTTGTGGATGTACGGGAGTCCTGTTTGGATAAATAAAGAGTCCTTACTGACTAAAGTTCAAACATGACTAATGAATATAATGTGCAGTAAATTTTGACAAAATACCTGACAGAGGCAGCAATGGGAAGTAGGTCTTTGGAAACTATATAATGTAATGATTTTATTAGACACATTCCAAGTGTAACACTATAATTTTCTGATGCAAAGAGACTCTTCAACCCACAGATAATAAAGTGTTAAGAAAACACAACACGGTTGCTTTATGTCTATGTTTTCAATGGGAAAATATTTACATTTGTATATTTATATATGCATAGGAAAGAAATGCAAAAAAGCAAAATGGTTATCTGAGGAGGCCTTACAAACAGCTGTGAAAAGAAGAGGAGGGAAAAGCAAAGGAGAAAAGGACAGATATTCCCGTTTGAATGCAGATTCCAAAGAATAGCAAAGAGAGATAAGAAAGCCTTCCCCAGTGATCAGTGCAAAGAAATAGAGGAAAACACTAGAATGGGAAAAAGACTAGAGATATCTTCAAGAAAATTAGAGATACCAAGGGAGCATTTCATGCAAGGATGGGCACAATAAAGGACAGAAATGATATGGACCTAACAGAAGTAGAAGATATTAAGAAGAGGTGGCAAGAATACAGAGAAGAACTATACAAAAAAAGGTCTTCATAATCAAAACTGACACCACCCTTATTGCAGAAAGTGAAGAACTAAAGAGCCTCTTGATGAAAGTGAAAGAGGAGAGTGAAAAAGTTGGCTTAAACCCCAACATTCAGAAAACTAAGATCATGGCATTTGGTCCCATCATTTCACAGCAAATAGATGGGGAAACAGTGGAAAGAGTGACAGAGTTTACTTTTTTGCTTCTAAAATTACTACAGATGTTGACCATAGCCATGAAACGAAAAGATGCTTAGCTCCTTGGAATATAACTGATGACCAACCTAAGCAGCACATTACTTTGCCAACAAAGGTCGTTCTCATCAATGCTATGGTTTTTCCAGTAGTCATGTATGAATGTGAGACTTGGACTATTAAAAAATATGAATTCTGAAGAATTGATGCTTTTGAACTGTGATGTTGGAGAAAACTCTTGAGAGTCCCTTGGACTGCAAGGAGATCCAACCAGTACATACTAAAGGAAATCAGTCCTGAATATCCATTGGAAAGACTGATGTTGAAGCTGAAACTCCAATGTTTTGGCCACCTGATACAGAGAGCTGACTCATTTGAAAAGACCCTGGTTCTGGGGAAGGTTGAAGGCAGGAGGAAAAGGCAATGACAGAGGTTGAGATGGTTGGATGACATCACTGACTCAATGGACATGAGCTTGAGTAAACTCCAGGAGTTGGTGATGTACAGGGAGGCCTGGTCTGCTTCAGTCCATGGGGTCACAAAGAGTCAGACACAACTGAGAGACTGAACTGAACTGAATAAAAGTTGTATACATATGGTCCTTTTCTAATTCAATAACTAAATATTTATGTGGCAAAACTGTATATTTTCATTATCACTCTGCATTATAATTTTTAATGGATAAATCATTATTTAATAAAGCTTGTCATATTTTTAAAAAGTGTTAGTTGCTCAGTCATTTCCAACACTTTGTGACTGCATGGATTGTAGTCTACCAGGCTCCTCAGCCCATGGAATTCTCCAGACAAAAATACTGGTGTGGGTAGCCATTCCTGTCTCTAGGCGATCTTTCCTACCCAGGGATAGAGCCTGGGTCTCCTACACTGCAGGCAGATTCTTTACCTTCTGAGCCATCAGTGAAACCCTCTCATATTTAACTATCAGACAATTTCATGTTAAATGTTTTATATAAATCTCCTTTATTTCCTTAGTTTGTATTACCAGAAGAGGAATTTCTGAGGCAAGTTCCACTTATATATTAGAATTTTAAAGTGTATTGACAAATTTACCCCAATGTGTAATACCACTTATATAAAGCAAAAGTGTCTGGCTCTATCTTTGACACTGTTGGGATTATGGGATCTCTAGGAATTCCACTCTTATCTTTTGCTTGAGTTCTGAGTCAACTAGCAAGTAAATGAAAAATATCAGTTTTATTATAAAGGTATTGAAAACATGGCTTTGAATATCCCAGTAAGAAAATCTTGATTAGTCTCATCTCCAGGTAGGTAGTGCTACAAAACCAAAACTATCCCACTACCTTGGGCAGATCCTTTTTCTAAATGACTTCAAGGAGTCTGAAATCTGTCTGCTAAAAAGACAGTTCAAAAGAGGAAATGGAATAGGTTGAGGCTTCCTTGGTGGCTCAGAGGGTACAGAGTGCCTGCAGTACGGGAGACCCGGGTTCAGTCCCTGGGTCGGGAAGATCCCCTGGAGAAGAAAATGGCAACCCACTCCAGTATCCTTGCCCGGAAAAATCCCATGGAAGGTGGAGACCAGCAGACTACAGTCCATGAGTTCACAAACAGTTGGACATGACTGAGCGATTGGACAATAGATGGAACAGTCAGCGTTCACAGTAAGCAAGTTTAAAGAGAAATCGAGAAAGCCATTGGGACTGGAGAATAAATTGTGTAGATACAAATAGTATCAGAATTCAGGTTTTGTGCTGATTCATCCTTCCTATTAGTTGGGTTCATCGACTCCTTTTTCTTTTATGTCTTTGAGAGGAGTGCAGTGTTTCTAATTGAGTTATGAAAAGTTTGTTTTAATTGCTTGTTTCTCAGTGTACTAAATAAAAAGATTTAACATTGCTTAAATGGAACTAATAAGGAGAAAAATTACTTTATTAATAACTACCTCATTCTTGGATGAAGATTTCACATAAATGAAGATGCAGCTAGCATAAGTGATGGAGATAGCAATCATGTGGGAAGAACAAGTGGAGAAGGCTTTCTTCCTTTGTTGGGCAGAGGGAAATCTTAGAATAGTGTTGATGCTATAAATATAGGAAAGAACTACACACATGAATTGATGATGAAGGTCAGCACAGTGCACAAAATAACCATCTGTTCTATCAGCCATATGTGTAAGCAAGAGATCTTCCAGATATGATAAACATCACAGTAAAAGTGATCAATTTCATTCAGATCACAGAATTCCTGGAGTTATAGATGTCTCCTCTGTAAAAGATTATTCTTTAGTGTTTCTAAGGGATTTATTCAGCTTTTTTAAAAACAAAGCAACACTAATCACCATTGGCTTTCCATAGATTCATATACACACTAAACACATAATAGTAGACTTGAGACAAAATAAATAGGAAATTCATGACATTTAGGAGAAGCATCGTGTCTGTGGAAAATAGATACCAAAAAGGGCTACCTCTTTTCTTGCTGTCCACACCCTCTGCAATGTGTGCCCCTAGTTCCTTCCAAGCACAGGTGATTCTGTTTTCCTTCCTTGAACATTGACTGGCCCTATGACTTCCTTGGCTAATAGAATGTGTGTGGAAGAAGAGATAGAGTGCCTAGGAATCCAGAGGCCTTGCTTTCTTCATTCTCTCCCCTAGGGCCTTGTGATCTTACCATGTGAATCAGTGTTAGCTAAGCAATAAAATATCATCTGGAAGAGGGTTCATTTATCTTAGTAAGGAGCCATTCAGTTTCTAAGTATGAGAATGAGGCCCTATTTGACAAGACTCAATCATCTGTGAGGATAGTCCTGTAAACCTAGCCAACTAAGATCAGCTGATGTCTGCTCAAACTGGCAAAAACCACAGTTGATTCACAAACTCAAGTTTTAAACCACTGATTTAGGGATGGTTTGTCATTGTGTAATAACTAACTGCAGGATGTGGCAGGTACATATATGTGCGCCTCCACACAGAGGGCTAGGGAGAGACACAGGAAAGGAAATCTTTGCACAAGGTGATGCCTTGAACATGGCCTAGAAATGAAAGTTAAAAGCATTCCAGTCTGGACCATTGAGCTTTATGGTGAGCAATGTGAGACATGGAAAGGAATAAATAACCATATGTAGAACATCTTTATTTGAGAAATATTAGTGAAGTATGCACCTCCTGTTTTTTTAATGGTAAAGATAATCTTTGTGGAGACAATTATGTCTTCATATTGGATTCTATGTTTTTAACCCAGGGCTTCCTTGTATTTTGCTGGTTTAATTTTCTCATTGCATAGAATTTTAATTTGCTGAGATTTGATGACTCCTTTTGGCTTAATTTAGCTATCTTTAGGGTGTGAATTGTATTATGTATTTCAGCACTAGTTTTACTTCATCATCATAAAGATGGTTTTAGTGTCTCAGCAGATTTTATCATACCACTGCCACCTGGGTGATGAATTAATGTAGAAACTGTGCTCTTTAATGTAGAGGGAATCTAATGAATCTAAATCCTAAAACTTTGGGCTTTGAAGTTTCTTTTACAAGGTAGATGTGGGTCTCCACATGTCTAAGCTCTTATATTTCTTCTCCAACATTAAAATCCTTTCATTTTTGCTCAAACTAACCCACAATTTTTCTTGAATAAATAACTCTTGTTTGAGAAGAGCAATATATATATAACATGTATATATAAAATCATATATATATATGTGTGTATATTTTGGATACTTGTACTTGGAAGACAATTGATACTATTACTCCATTATTTTCTTATGAGTTCAAGGATACAATTATTTCCATATAAGACGTAAGAGTTCTCTTATTGATCAGAGGCAGGTTAGAATTCAGGAAAGACCTTTCTCATGGAAATATAATATCATGTTCTTCTGATTTGAGATATTATCTTAGATAAAATTTATTTTCAACAGGAGTGGACATAACTTGTTTATATCACATATTTAAAATATGATTTCAAATCCAGGATTTAATAATAACAGTGATATAAGCATGCTAATATAAATAGAAAATAGACCAGAATACAACAATTACGATGAAGATTGTGACTTCAAGTCTCAATGATCTTTTAAAATTTATATTATTATTTTATGCTTCATTTTAACATTCCTTTATTTCCTTAAAACCAAAGAAATTCTTTTGATTAAGTCTGTAAAAGCTTGTTTTACTTGTTTGTTTCTCAGGCTATAAATAAATGGGTTTAACATGGGAGCAACTGAAGTAGTAAGCACTAACACACACTTATTAATCTCCACTTCATCCTTTGATGAAGGTTTGACATAGATGAAGATACAGCTTCCATAGGTGATAGAAACCACAATCAGGTGAGAAGAGCAGGTAGAAAAGGCCTTCATTTTTTGCTGAGTCGAAGGCAACTTTATGATGGTCTTGATGATATATGTATAAGACAGAACTACACACAGGAGTGTCCCAATGACAGTCAACACAGCAACGGTAAAAACCATCTGTTCTAGGAACCATGTGTCTGAACAAGAGATTTTTAGCACAGGAAAAGCATCACAGAAGAAATGATCAATGATATTTGAGTCACAGAATTCCAGCTGTAAGCCCAGAGAAGCTGGTGGAAATATGACCAGACAACCTGCTATCCAACAGCAAATAACAAGTCTTCCACAGACTCTAATGTTCATGATGGTTGCATAATGTAAAGGTTTGCAGATGGCCACATAGCGGTCATAGGACATGATGGCTAGGAGAAAAAATTCTGTTGCTGCAAAAACAAAGATAAGAAATATTTGACTAAAACAAGCATTATAAGAAATATTCTTGTCTCCAGTTGATAAGCTGTATAAGAATCTGGGAATGCAGACCGTGGTGAATAATGTTTCTAAAAAGGAGAAGTTTTTGAGAAAAAAGTACATGGCAGTTTTAAGGCGAGAGTCTACTAAAGTGAGTATAATGATGGTCAGGTTCCCAGTGACACTCAGTGTATAGGAAGCAAATAGAAACATAAAAATCAGAACCTGCATTGGAGGATCATCTGTTAGCCCCAGGAGAATGAATATAGGTAATGATGTATGGTTTCTCATCATTGACTTGTACTTCTTCTCAGGCTCCCGACAAAGTCAAGTGTCACTGAACTGAGAAAACCTGTATGAAATTATGAGGCCATGGCTACTGGGTAATAAAAATCCAATCAATGCAATGAATAGTCATTTTCTTCTTTGACTTGACAATGACGGATCAAAACTCAAATTGTCAGCTCTTTTGGTGTTCATTATAGGTATCCTCAAATTCAGATTTTTCTGAAAGAAGTTTGTACTAGAGTCCACATGTTTAACTCTTTGCATGTTCTCATCTCTATTTTTTCAATTAATTTAAATTTTGTCCCTTGTATTCTGAAATGTATTTAGCTATAGAATTAGAAAGGATCATCTGGGCTGTAAGATTTTGTGGATTTGATAGTATTCTTTTTCTTCTGAGTAGTAATTCTTCGCTACTCACAGGTTTGAATGAGCTCACAAGTTACTTGAAGTGTGGGTTCCTGTTAAATGCAAATTAATGACATTTGTATAAAATGTCAAACTGGAGGCCATGTGTGCAGTATGAATGCTTTTACTGCAGTGACCAAAGAGTTATTTTATTTTATGTATTTAACTTTTGGTGTCAGAATTGCCATCTAAAGAACATAGCTTTCCAATGTGGCTATTACCTTGAAATTTCTACATCAATATCTGACCTTCCCTCCATTTGCACTCTGATAGAACACAGTGTTGTATAAGTACAACATAAATGAGTTACCTGATGCAATACTGGACAAAGGAATTATGACAAGGAAAAGAAAATCCTGAAAGAATTTAACCTCAGTTGTTTGTACTTCCAAGGTCACGAAGGAGAAGGGGAGACAGGATGAGACACAGGCTGAAGACCAAAGACACGTGACAATTCCTTTTCAAGTAGTGATTTGAATTGGATCCTGCAACAGAAAAATGACATCAATGGAAACTGTGAAATTCCAAATAAAATATATATTTAAATTAATTTATTTTAACCTTATTTAATTCTTTTTTTTCAGTGAAACCTTCAGCCCTCTGAGACCCTCCAAGCCAGAGCTGCTAGCACTCTCCTCTCTGTGTTTCTGGGAACTCACAGAGAGGTCCTCCAGTGCAGTGTGTAAGCTCAATTCCTGGGCACCTGAAAAGTGAGTCAGGAGCCACTATTTTTCCCTGCTGTTGACTGCTGGCAGGGGGGCACCCAGAGGGCATACGGGACTCAACAGGCAGAGGTGGAGACACTCTCACTGCCTACCTAGTCTGGCCATAACTCAGACCTGTCCTTACATCAGTATTGTAACGCTATTGGCAATAGTCAAGACATGGAAGCAACCTAGATGTTCATCAGTAGATGAATTGGTAAAGAAGATGTGCTACATATATACAATCCAACATTGTGTGTGTTAGTTACAGTCGTGTACGACTTTTTGCAATCCCATGGATATAGCCCACCAGACTCTTCTGTCCATGGAATTCTCCAGTTAAGAATACTGGAGTGGGTTACCATTTCCTTCTCCAGGGGATCTTCCCAACCCAGGGATCGAAGCTGGGTCTCTTGCATTACAGGCAGATTCTTTACCATCTGAACTATCAGGGAAGTCCACAGTCATGTATAATTCAGCCATCAGGGAAGCCCACTATTATATGTACTTCAGATAACTGGTGGGAAGCTGCTATAGAACACAGGGAGTCCAGCTTGGTGCTCTGTGATGATGGGTAGGATGGGAGAGGGGAGGGATGCTAAAAAGGTGAGGATATATACATAATTATGACTGATTCATACTATGTTATGACGGAAACCAACACAATATTGTAAAGCAATAATCCTCCAATTAAGAAATAAAGATCCCACATGAAAAAAACTCTATTATTTGCACACATTGTTAATTCCTTAGTTTTAATAATACCTGTGTGATTACACAGGTTGCTACCATTAGGAAGAGCTAAGTGAAAAATATCTGGGAACTGGCTGCACTATTTTTTCAGCTCTTCTGTTAAGTATAAAATTACTTCATAATTAAAAATTCATCAAGTAGATATAAAAAAGAAAGAAAACCAAAAAGCAAATAGTAACTGCCAAGCACTTTCTCTCTGCCTGGCAGGATGATGGGGCAAGTTTTACATGGACAGTTTGTCTGGTATATATATATCCTTTTCTCCAATTTTGTGCTTCTTCATCTGTATTTTTGGGGGTGATGTCCATTTTATATTATCTGTAAGTATGGAAAATATTCTTTGAAATTAACATTTACAGTTAAAACAAATGGTTTAATATTAATCAGCAATGCCTGAATTGTGAGGATTCTGTCTATACCTAAAATCCAAAATTATAATGTCAACTTCAAATTTCCATGGTGAATCAGCTGGTAAAGAATCTGCTATAATGCGTGAGACCTGGGTTCGATCCAAGGGTTAGGAAGATCCCCTGGTGGAGGGCAGGGCAACCCACTCCAGTATTCTTGCCTGGAGAATCCCCATGGACAGAGGGGACTGGCAGGCTGCTGTCCTGGGGTCACAAAAAGTCGGACATGACTGAGCGACTAAGCACAGCAATAGGACCCAAAATCCTTGGTATCTTTGACCCCTTGACAGTACACTCGTGTGATGAGGACGTTCATGTTTAGAAAGGAACATTACCTGTGAAACAGCTCTTCAGAGTGCTTCCACCAAAGGGAGCATTCACTTTCCACAAACCACAACAGCATTCTGAACACGTTTGCGAGGCGTCTGTTTCCTGATACAACTCTGCTCATTCCCAGCTTCCCACCCCCGTTCCTCCCTTTGCTGGACTGATACTGATACCTGTAGGTTTTTCAAGTCTTGGCTTAGCGTCACTTCTAGCAAAAAACTTTCCTGAAATTTCACTGTGCAAGTTATTGGCTTCTATTTTTTGCCCCTCTAGTTCACTATGCTTATCTCTTTGTTACCACTAAACATGTGAATGTAATTTTACTAGCATTGAGCTATTCCTTGTTCTTTGAGATTCTACAACAGTTAGCAGCATTCAATGGTTATCAAGAGCTCAATAAATATGTTTAATGTAAAATTCATAAATTTTATATGTGCTTTTCTGACTCAGAATGAGCAGTCTGTTTTCTCATTTAGTGACATTTCCACTTTCTTTTGGGCTTCCCTTGTGGCTTAGCTGGTAAAGGATCTGCCTGCAGTGCAGAAGACCTGGGCTCCTTCCCTGGGATGGGAAGATCCCCTGGAGAAGCGAAAGGCTACCCAATTTAGTATTCTGGCCTGGAGAATTCCATGAACTCTATAGTCCATGGGGTCACAAAGAGTCGGACACAACTGAGTGGCTTTCATTTCCACTTTTCCATTTTCTTTTACGGACAATTTTTCAGTAAGTATGCAATCCCAGTTGGTGGTCTTCAATTTGTTGTCTTCAAAAAGTCACTTAGATTCTTTCATGTTTTATCTTTCTTGGGGTATAAATGACATAAGAATGCACATACTTAATATATATGCTATATATAACCTCTGTTGTCCATTTTCCTTCATTTTAAAAAATGAGGTCTTTAAACTACAAAAACTATTCCTTGCTTCTTGGAAGTGCAAAAAAGTCTACCTGTCATATTTAGTCTTAGACTAAAAAGAAAGTCATTTGAAATTTTTTTGTATTGATTAAAATTATTATATATTTGGTCTTCTTTTTCATTACACATCCAGCAGCTAACTCAAATATTTCCTATCCTTGTCACTGACTGAATACCTTGTTGCTTTCCTCCACTGCTAAATCACAAGGCATTTGCCTTAGAGGCTTCATGCAAATGATTGCTTGGAGTTTCACTTGGTTGCTTAAAAAAAAACAAAAAACAAAAATTCCTTCCTAATCATAGGAAAGGGAGATATCAGCTTCCACTTGGTGCCTAGTCCCACTGTTTAGCCTAAGGTGTTTATAGAAAAACAGAATAAGGGAAGCACAGGGAATGTTCTGCCTAAAAGTTAGCCTCCCTACCTCAACACCAGGTTAAAGTTCATAAAGGGATAGCATAGTATTTCCAGTGGTGGGACAGGAAGGAATTGTCTCTGCGGCCCATATCCCTTCCCTCAAGTCCTGTTAGAAGGACTCCAGGTATCTGACTCTCCCAAGAACCTCAGGCAGCCTGTATGTCCTGAGGAGACTAAACTTTCCTTCCAAAAACGCCACTATTTTCTTCAGTCATTTGTATTCCACCTTCTTAATAACACTCTCATGAAATTAATTGACCCTTATATTGATACAGATGTTGAAAAATGAATTTTCATTAAAAGGGGAGAGACTTTTAGAGGATGGGATCACAGTCTTATAAAACATAGGCAAATAAGTTACTCAATGGAGCTACATTCACTTATTTTATACATAGTGTCTTTTTTTTTTTTAATGAAGGTCAGATCAAGGCAGAGAACACTTAAGAGTGTCCCTCTAAAATTCCACTGCATTTAGAAGAATTTCATCATATTGATACATGAAAACAGCTACTCAATGACTGAGAAGTCAGATTTCATAAGTGGTTGTTGAAACTGTTTGTAAAATGTTAAGCTGACAGATTATATAAGTTTATTTGGTATAGATACTTTCCTCAGAGGAAAGCACCATTTTAGAGTTCAGAAAAGGCACAGAAAGTTATAAAAATACTTCTCTCATGGTCATAACCTCAGATATTTGCTGAACCCTGAAGTGATAAAGGGTGAAACAGTTGTCCAGGAAGGTGTTATGGTGGAGAGATGTGGGTGGTCTCTGACCATTCTTAGGAGCACAGACATACTCACGCAGGGCTCTGTAGTTGAAGGGTTTTCGCTGAGTTGTCCTCCACCCTCACAAAAGGAAGATTTTCTCAACAGAAAGCCTGCCTTGTCCTGAGCACAGGATAATTTTACTCCGGAACTACAGAGCTAATAGTAGTTTAAATGGGTAAGTAGGAATCTCTTTCTGTTGTTGGGAAAGTGTGATTTTCTGATATATCTGACAGAAAGGCATATTTCTAAACTGACGTAACTTTTCTTTTAAAAAAATTGACCTCATTTTCAATTAAGTGAGCAAGCAA